AAATACACTCCCTACACACTGTTTTAGAGTTTCTGCAATCCTTGACTCAGTCGCTAAGTATCAGTATCAAACTCCTAGAATAGTAATCTTTTTTGTTCTCCAGAAACCCATATACATTTCCTACTCCAATCCACATTTATTAAACAAAAAACATCAAATAATTATTTCCAATTACTTCCATCTTCTGGTAGAAGATTTTTTTATTAATAAGGACTGTTTACCAGGAACAAACAAAATACTTTGTTTTAGTAAGCACATATCAACATGTTGAGAAACTTAGTATTTTAGCTTTTTTAGGTTTTGGATAAAAGTATGCTAATTCACATCTTACAGCACAGTAAGAAATACTTTCCCCACTACCATATTGCAAAACGTTGTACAAGACAGGATAGCGCTTCCTTTTTTCAGTGAAAAAGAATTACTAGTTCTATAAAAGAAGCAGTCACAAGACAAAATGGCATGTTTCCAAAATTGCTTCACTTCCTACATGAAAACAATAATCAACATTTTCAATATAAACAGGCAGTCCAGATGTACTTGAATCTCAGAATACAAACTAAGAATAAAAGTTGTATGTCCTCTGTGAAGGCCACTGAACAGATTGACAAGCTTCTAAATCAGTCTTTCAGTGAAAGGTTTGAGAAAAGATTATCAGTCTTCTGCATTATTCCAACGTTCTTTGAATTCTCAGCTCCAGGACCATGTTAACATGACAAACCTAACAAAATTTTCTCAAACCAACAGAAAATCGGGAAGCTTACGTTTTACATAAGAAACAGATTTCACATTAAAATAAATTCTAAATGCCCAGCTCACAGTTGTGTTACATCTAGTTTAAACTCTAATTCCCGTAGCAACTTTTGTCTTTGTTTCTACTACCTTCATCTACAAATTGTACCTAAACAAAATTATGTACTTAATGATTCATTTCTAACTGAAATGAAGGAACAAATTCAGTTTTCTGCCTTTCAAAATTATGCTAATACTGGGCAATACACCGGTAACTAGGTCGTGTTCAGGACATGATTGCAGAATTATCAGATGCTGACATTGTTGTAGCAGCCACAAAAGTAATCCTCGCACCCTGTGCTGCACGCCACCAGAATACACTACAAGTGTAGCCCCATCACTAATCCCCATTACACCTCTACCATCATTTCCTTCGATCTCAGGGCGGAAGTAATGCTGCCTGCAGCAGAAGACACGCAAGCCATGCGGTTTCCCTGCTGAGTGCCACTCCACTCTTCCCCCAGAGGGCTCCCAGAGCAGAAATGCTGTATATACAGGGATAGGCATACCCTATATCCTCTGAAGTAGAGAGGAGCTTCTAGCACCTCTTTACACGCTCTGCAAGAAGAAAGCCTGGGAAGACAGACTTCTTGTTTGTCAGAGACTAGCAAGGGAAGATTTACTACCTCCAGAAGCAATGCGAACCTCTTGACCAGAAAATTCAATAGCATCACAATTACTTGGTGGTAGAACGAGCTTGCATGTGTTCATGCACATGTCCAAAGTTTCACACGGTTTTGCCCATCACTTGATACCCTATGTCCGTTCTTGTTTCCTGGCACACATCTTTTGTGCTTTCAGGCTCCAAACAGGGGTAAGGCTTTTCTTTAATAAAGATTTTTCCTGCGTTTCTGAAATACCTGACAGAAAGAGAAGCTGGAGCTTTAGCAGGAAGACCAATGATGTTCCAGGCTCAGCAGGGTACAGCAGCTAATGATACCGTGCGTAAGAAGCTGGGATTGTGGGGGAGAAGAGGTTAGAGCAGTTGCACAGCAAGACCCTAAGAATAAGGAATATGAAGGAAAAAGTGTATGTGAGGAGTCTTGTTTTAAGAGTCCTGGGCAGGTCGTTGTAAACAGCAGGGAGAGTAGGATAAATTCTGGAAATGAAAAGAAATGCTTGCTCTTAGTGAGGAACTCTCAAGGTAGGGGTGTTTGGGGAAGAAAAACTTTGTCACAAACTCCAATTTTGAAAAAGATTTTGGAGATATTTGGCTCTGTCATATCTCACTCTAATTCTGTTTTTAATAATATTGAGAATAGATACGCATTAAAACATCTGAAAAACTGACTAGCTTCGTTCCTCTGTAGCAAAGCTTCTGTTTCCAAGAGCTCAAACACTTCCCTATTGTGTCCCCAGTAAAAAGCCAATGATACATTTAACCCCGATTCATATATTCTTAAGTAACAAAGAATTTTTAACTTAAACCTAGACAAATTATTCTTACTGAAACAGCTTTAGCATGACCTATCCACAAATGTGTCTGCAGTATTAGGCACATGCTGATTTATGGTATCTTTAATGCATGGTAGTAGTAATCACAGAAGTCCTAAACCTAGTTTCTTTCCACCCAAGAGAGCTTATTCACTACACTGTACATAGCTGTACTGCATCCAGTCCACTATAAAAAAGCAGAAGATTGAAACAATTAGAAGAATTTCCTCCGGAATAATATTCCACACTACACCAGTTAAGTCAATTTTTGTGATTAGTTCCCACACAGAGCATTCTCCTCTATGCTGCCACCTTTATGTAACCAGCACACTTGGACAACTGTCAGTTGATCTCAACTGATAGTTCTTTTACTGACTGATAAGGATGCTTCAAACGTAAAGACACCTTTATGCTTAAGGTACAGAAATAAAATTTGACCTAAGAAGGTTTTAACCTTCGTCTGTCCTGGTTTCTTCCAGTATTATATCCACCCCTCCCTGCATTGCCCACATAACCAATCTGATGTTCTTCCTACAAGCCCAGAACCCACCTGTGGCGCAGCATGAAGCTGTACGTACCCTTAGGGGCTCCACAGTTCACTGGCCTCCTTAGACACTAGCAGAAACCAAGCAGAAGCACCCCCCTACTTCAACACAAATAACCCACAATACCCTGCCTCCTCCTTGGCCTGTTTTCACTCATCCCTTTGAAAAGCAGCCACTGCATTCAAGAATTCCTAGAACACCGAACTGGTAGCACCTGCTTAAAATCTGCCCTGAGGTGATAAGGCAACCACATATTTCATCCTCACATGTAGGGATAAGTGTACAAGGTGACTAAAGGAGAATATAAACACTCCCACACACCTTGTAGCTCAGCAAGACGACTGCTCAGCAGCATGCCGAGTCATAACACCAACAGGGGACATCACCTTGATCCTTATAAAAAAGCTGATGCCATGAATTTACTTCCAAATCATTGAAAATAATGCAATATTGAGGTACTAGCAAGCATTTTCTGAATGTTGCTTCATCTAGAAAATGACTGCCTGTACATATTTTGCATATATGCATTGGTTATACCACGGTTAGAAGTATCTGTAACCTCCCACTGCCTAGGCATATGAAATTCCCCAAAATACAGAAACATCTTCTATTAGTATAGTGCCTTAAGAGTATTAACATTTCTTATCAGCCCTGCTTTACAATAAATAGTAGATTTCACAAAGCTTCTCTCCAAATCGCAAATGAATCTTCAAAGGAAAAAAAACAAAACAAACAGCTTTTACTATGTTTTCTACTTAAAAGAGGCACATTTTATTAAAGATTAATGTGAAAACTTTAATATAAACTAATCTCAAGGGTTCATGGAAGAAAGCCATAAGCACTTGTTTTTTGGATGTTTGCTTGGGTTTCTTATTTTGGAAAACGCTGCATTCACAAATTTGAAAATTAGCGGTTCTCAATTACCTTTGAGTTATACAACTATACAGAAAAGATCTAAAAGTTTATATAGACACCCTGACAGTCTTTACTTAAATGAAAGATATTAAAGCAAGACTGCTCAATTCCAGCAATTTTAGTCCCATGGTTCCTCGCATGCCAAATCAGACCTACAGAGGCACAAAGGACAAAAGATCACAAGTTCACTTCTACCCTCTTCCCCAATTCATTGCTAAAAAACAGGTTTTATTCTCTCAGCTTGTTCCTTCTGATAACAGAATTGACGTATCTTCATTTTGACCATACTATGTATATCCTCAGAAACACATTATGCCTCCATAGCTACCATGCCACCTCAACAACTTTGAGTATGGGGAGTATTTATTGAACTGCATATGGCTTTCTTTTTTCTAAATTAAAAAAAACAAACTTGCAATTTGAAAATCATAACCTTACACAAAAATAAAGACACTTGCATAGTACTCAATCTGAACTTCAAAATCACGTTGACTCAAAACCAACATTAACCTGGCATTTTTCTCCTTGAGAAAAGTACCCCACCTTCCATATTAGATCAAATCACTGATATCCAGCTTGCACAAATATTTTTCCGAAGGCCAGAATAAAACTTTGG